ATAAACCGCAAGGGGTACTTTTTTTTGACGCAGGAATGACTGGTGGATCACAAGGGACGTTTCACCAACATCATGAAGGCTGGCCGGGAAAGGTCCATGACGCTCGCGTCTTCAGGAACACTACTCTGTTTAAACGGCTGCAGCAAGGGACTTACTTCCCAGACCAGAAAATAACCGTTGGGGATGTTGAAATGCCTATAGTTATCCTTGGGGACCCAGCCTATCCCTTAATGCCATGGCTCATGAAGCCATACACAGGCAGCCTGGACAGGAGTCAGGAGCTGTTCAACTACAGGCTGAGCAAGTGCAGAATGGTGGTAGAATGTGCATTTGGACGTTTAAAAGGTCGCTGGCGCTCGTTACTGACTCGGTGTGAAAGTTCTGTTTGTTGAAAACCCACCCCCTTGATTCACTCATTCCCTGTAAGCAAACCACCCTCCCCGCTTAAATCACATCTTGCTTTTAAAGGAAATAAAGTCACTATCGTTTAAAAATCATGTATTCTTTATTAATTGATTATAAACATAGAGAGAGATCCGACAAGGTAACCTGGGTGAGGTTTGGGAGGAGGATAGGAGGGAAGTAAAAGGCCACTGAAAAAATTCAATATAATGACAGCCTTTTGGTTGGGCTGTCCACTGGGGTGGAATGGGAGGGTGCACGGAGCCTCCCACCCCGCATTCTTACACGTCTGGGTGAGGAGGCTATGGAACATGGTGAGGGGGGAGGGAGGTTATAAAGCGGCTGCAGCGGCAGGCTGTTATTCTGCTGCCGTTCCTGAAGCTCCACCAGACGTCGGAGCATGTCCGTTGATCACGCAGCAGCCCCAGCGTTGCAGCCTGCCACCTCTCATCTCGAGCGTCCCTCATGACCTCATGTTCACTGGCATCTTTCCTGTACTTAGATACTGTGTCCTTCCACTCATTCAAATGAGCTCTTTCATTGTGGGTGCATTCCATTATTTCTGAGAACATCTCATCTCACGTCCTCTTTCTCCGCCGCCTTATCTGAGATAGACTTCGGGACGGAGGAGGGAGGCTTGAAAAATTTGCAGCTGCTGGAGGGATGAAAAAAAGGAGAGAAGTTTTTAAAATGATACATTT